CTAGTGTGACAAATGCTCTACACAGCATTCCAAGCCAATGAAGATATTGTGGGTAGCAGAGATTGAGATAAACTACTTCAATTATTCTGCACAATTTCTGTAGCTTGGAGCCACACATAACCGTAGAAGTAGCTTATAAGTTCAAGAAGAATACTGTTAAACAGGAACAGCCTTTGAAGAGGGTAAAATATTCACATTGAAACCATTGTTTTTAGTTATTTTTCGTCACCTTAATTTTTGATGTTTTTAATATCAGTAAAATCTTTAAAGCATCTGCCGGGGGAGACAGGGTTTAAAGGCACTATTTCAAGAGAATTTCGTTTTTTTGAATAGTGGTAGCTGGATAAATGAGGCATAAAATTACCGACTACTTCAAAGAACTAGACAGTACTTAGGTGCTTGCGGGAACTGCTAGAAAGTTGCACAGTTTATACAAGTTCAAATAATAAGCAGTCAACGATAAATTGCTGCATCTCCTGAAGCCCAGTGAGCAAATGTGATCCCACTGTTGCCAGAACTAGAACTTGATGACTGGTAACCGATACTCAGTCTGTAAAAGTCGACCGAACTGACCTGATGAATATATGGATTACTAAATTCATCGGATGCAGGAATCAAGTGGTTTTCAAAGATATTTACTTAACACCAGTCTATTAGATATACGCCGCCACTTTTGTCTCATCTCGGGCCAAAAGAGTTCAGAACGGTACTAGTCCATCTAGTAGCATTTTCGCTTTTGTGGCGGGTATGCACTTGAGTGCAGTTGTGCGCGACTATAGCAGGTGCAACGGGGAGCAACCAGCCAGTGAGCTTTTGACTTACAAAGGGAAGCAACAGGCAGTGCACATGGTATTTTATTTCAGACCCATGTACATACCTTGGTACAATGTTACCGCCGGGTCTGTTCAACGGACCGTTGGTGGTCCAAGAAGAAGACCATTCTATAACTTTCATATGAAGCTGAATTCCACGATAAAAACGTTGACCCAAGACAATAGGATTGATTTTTTTGCCTACGTCAGATACACTCTGCCGATAGGATTCTGTGATTTGAAACATTGTTATTAAATAGATAAGTTGGTTTATAAAAACGAACGAGAGATTTGCGTGTAAAATTTGCCTGACCGAATGAGGTTGCCAAATTCCAAAGCCCACTTTTAAACTCTAGTTGTAAAAATTTTATAGGTCATAATTTGGTTAAGAGCCATGAAGAAGTTATACGATTACACATTGGTAAACAGAGTGGAAGTAAGGCTATCGATTGCTCGATCGGTGCCGGAGCGAGATTACAAGTTGAGGAACCGCTAACATTTGCCAAATGAAAAGTTCCAATATTCCAGATGTTCCAGCTTGAAAAAGCCATCCTGTTATCTTCTGGAAAAACTTATTTACCCTTCCACTGGGGGCACTCAACGACCGTTTCTAAAGCTCACTAATGGGATGCATCTACTGGCAAGTCACAAACGAGTCATTCATATCTATCCTGTATGAAATTATTCAGCTGAATGTGCTGCACAGAGCCGGTCTCGTATTGTACTTGACACCATCCTTGATGTCTATGCCATGCTGATGAACCCCATGAAGAGCCAAACTCGCTGTGAGCTGTCGATGAGAATTGAGCATCCTTATGAATGGTTTGCTCCGTCAAGCGAATTCACTGCGATTACTTGAATGTCACATCAAGTG